GAAAAAAAAATGCAAGCTCTGCTTTAAGGCTTGGCTAAATCTATATATTATTTAGTATCCACCCTTTCACTCTGAAGATCTAATAATTCTCCTTATGGTCTGCTATACAATTCTTGTCATATAATTGGAGAATTTGTTATTGAATCACTAAATGATCCCTTAATGATATTGTTCTTTATTCTCATTACTTGTTTGTATGATATTGTATTGATATTGTTAGGAGAAATTCTTTCTTGGTCACTCATGGGAGTTAAAGGGTTAAGGAGGATTTCCAGAAGGTTTTACATTGAAAGCCTTATTTTTGATGTGGCCAACAACTTTTACCATCTTGTTCTAACCCAAGGATCAGAGGACTCATTTTTAAACTGATCTGACAACACAATGAAAATTACATCAGAAATCATCACACATTCAAATCCAAAGTATTTTTATTAAAAAAGCAACCTGATAAATTTGAATAACATTTCTCCTTCAGTTAAAGTACCCCTGATTTTACTAACACAATTAAGTGTAGATTTATATGTTCTTCTCATGCCTTTTGTTGCAATAGATACATTATGTCAGTACTAACAAGCTACTTGTTGTAATTATTTTGACAGATCGGCAAGAGGCACTAAAGTTGCAAGACTGGCTGACGCCAGTGATAGCAAAACCCCTGATAATTAGTCTTGGGTTAATGGTGTTTCAACAATTTTGTGGAGTCAATGCAGTTCTCTTTAATGCTGCCCACATCTTTGCAATGGCAGGATTTAAAAATGGGAAGGTCGTCTCCATTGCTGTGGGCCTGGTGCAGTTTGTCGGAACTGGTTTAGCATGCGTCATTATGGATAAAGCGGGGAGGCGTATCCTCCTCTTGACAACAGCAATTGGAATGTGTGTCTCTCTTGTAGCACTTGGTGTGTATTTTGAGATCTACATCCCTCCAGAAGGTGAAGGCTCAGCAAGTGAGACAGTTTCCTTGCTTGGTTCAATCAGTCACTCTATTCCAGCCAAGAAGATTTCCTGGTTATCAATTTTGTGTATTGTTTTGTTCAACTTGATGTTTGCCCTTGCATGGGGACCTGTTCCATGGCTTGTGATGTCAGAAATATTTCCCCTCCGAGCCCGAGGTCCGGCCAGCAGCTTTGCGACTATGGCCAACTGGACATTGGCATTTATTGTCACTAAAACATACCAGTCCATGGCTGATACTCTTCAAAACCAAGGTGTATACTGGTTGTATGCAGGGTTCTGTTTTGTTTCATTCATTTTTGTTTATGTACTAATGCCAGAGACAAAGGGGAAAACATTGGAAGAGATAGAAGCCATGTTTGACAAGAAGAATTCACAATATGAACGTATCCACTAACAAGTGAAGAGATGGAATGGATGTAAACTTTAAACTCTCAGGATGTCATATGTTTTTTCTTCAATTAAGCTGCTATGTTCCTAGTAAAAAATATATATATATATTTTAAATTATTGCAGAGTGAAGTGTCATATCAAAGTGACAAGCTTGGAGAGTGACATTTCAATCCTCACTTCATCTGTTAGTAGGCCCAGACACCAAAACAAATGCTCTAAAAGTCTGGTCAGGATTTGTCAATTGTTTCTGTTAACCCTCTGACCCTTATGAGTGACCAGCATCCAATATCTCCTCACAATATCACCTCCCAATAACACATTGAGGTCACAAGAAGAAAATAAATGATCAACAACTAAAGAGGCTCTTGATTTTTAACCAAATTCTCCATGTCAGCACCTTTGGAAAAGTATTAGAGAACAGTATGGATAATATGTAAACTGATGTAAGGATGCTAACCCTTTAACTCCTAGATCAAATTTGTAATTCTCTTTACTGTCAACCATACAATTCTTATAATGTCGGTTCAGAGAATTTAGTATTGGATCAACTAATTATCTCCAAATTGATATTTTTCTTTATTCTCATCACTTTTCTGGTTGATGGTGTATTGATATTGTGAGGAGAAATTCTGTCTTGGTCACTCATGGGTGTTAAAGGGTTAAGGGTTGAAGTCTTTAAAAATCCTCTAAATCTGTTGACAATTTTCTTAAAATCTCCCGATAACAGGCAACATATGCCTCTATGCCTATACCATGCCGCTGGATAATAATTTAAGCTTGGTACAGATGATTAATTATTATTTTAGGGTACAGGGTTTAAAATTATTTCATATTACAATAAACTTGATCCTTTCTTATTCCTTTAACCCCTGAGAGTGATTGGCATCTAATTTCTCTTTACAAGACTGCCCCTGAATAGAACATTTAGGTTATGGGAATAAGGGAAATGATC